TTGCCAGTCTGGCCGACAGATGTGACATTCACTGACTGTCGAGTCAAGATTGTAGGTGAAGAACAGGAAGAGGATATGCAATCCTATACACACATTGGATTCCTCCAGTGTCAACAAACCAATCGCCTCTATCTGGAACTGAAAGCCGCACTGCAAGCAGTGAATGCTGCACACAACATGTTGCGGTAGCCAATAGCATTTAAAGCTCGCGGTTGAGATCTCAAGGCTTTTGAAGGGGCTGTTGGTGTGGTCTCACTGGACGCGTTCGTGTCACTTCAGTGAGAAAGGACTCCAGTTTCTTGCCAGTCTGGCCGACAGATGTGACATTCACTGACTGTCGAGTCAAGATTGTAGGTGAAGAACAGGAAGAGGATATGCAATCCTATACACACATTGGATTCCTCCAGTGTCAACAAACCAATCGACTCTATCTGGAACTGAAAGCCGCACTGCAAGCAGTGAATGCTGCACACAACATGTTGTGGTAGCCAATAGCAATTAAAGCTCGCGGTTGAGATCTCAAGGCTTTTGGAGGGGCTGTTGGTGTGGTCTCACTGGACGCGTTCGTGTCACTTCAGTGAGAAAGGACTCTAGTAACTGAAAGCGGCGCTGCAAGCAGTGAATGCTGCACACACGTATTATAGCAGCCGATAGCAATTAAAGCTAGCGATTGAGATCTCAAGGCTTTTGGAGGGGCTGTTGGTGTAGCCTCACTGGAATCCTTCCTGTTGATTGCGGTGTGGGTGTTCTGTTGTGCCTTAAGTTTCCACCCTCCCAAGCCGTAAGCCTCCAACCCACTGTCGCTGGGTCACAAACTGTGTCACACGAGTGACCTTACATTCCAGTCGTTTGCGCCGGCAGGATTTGCGTTTCAGCTATGCACATTCACGGATGCACCTCTCCCGGTCTCTTCAATACTCTACTTCCCAGGTTCTCCGCTTCTATGCCCTTGTCGCCTACATACTTGGCTACTTGGTTCACTCTCCTCAGCAAAACTTGTTCATGCCTGTCACCTTACAATCCAGCCAGGGGTCGTTTACGCTGGCTGGATTTGGGTTGCAGCTCTGCACATTCACGAACACACAGTCTCTTCAACACTGTCTCTTCAACACTCTACTTCCCAGGTTCTCCGCTTCTATGCCCTTGTCTCCTACAGACTTGGCTACTTGGTTCACTCTCCTAAGCAAAACTTGTTCATACCTGTCACCTTACAATCCAGCCAGGGGTCGTTTACGCTGGCTGGATTTGGGTTTCAGCTCTGCACATTAACGAACACACCTCTCACGGTCTCTTCAACACTCTACTTCCCCGGTTCTCTGCTTCTTTGCCCTTCTGAAGCATCCCAGAATAGAAGGAAATGTCCTCCACATTAAGTTCAGTGAGTTTTTCATTTGGTTGCCGGTGTGATTAGACTTGGCCATTGAAGAAGGATTCGAAAGGCATATCCCCGTTGTTCCTGAAGTGCCTCAGGCACTCGATCACTTCTATGATTGGGCACACTTGGACCCTTGACCAATCAAGCGATGTTTGTTCGAAGGTTCATCGGTCTGCTGTGAAGATTTCTCGGTACTGTCCAAAACTCAGAATCAATGGATTTTGACCGAACAAAAGCTGGGCAAAGATCGGCGAAGCTACAACTAGCCACGATGCGAAAATGATGATCTATTTGAAACTCAGTTTTGTAACAACAATGTTGGCCACAATTGCCTGATGACTTTGGTTGAAATTGGGACCAAAGAGGGATTGGACCTCAAGGGTCATCTGTCCTGGAACCATCTTTGCCGTAGAGCAACTCCCTCGAACTACCCGCGTCAAAATTTCCTATCTCCAAAGCTCGACATGGCGCGAACCAAGTGAGAAAAGTGGTAGCTTAGAGGTGGTAGCTTTGAAACACCAACATTCTAAGCATTCCCCTCTCCATTGTTGGCTCGCTACACTGCTACACACGATGAAAACCCATGAAAATCCCATAATTCTACCCGAAAGAACCAACGCGAGTGTGTGTTTGTGTGTGTTCGTGTGTGTTTTTGCGTTTGCATGAGTGCGTTGATTGGCAGTGACTGCTCAAACAGCTGCAGAGGTCGATCGACTTTAAACAAGTGACAGCGTCCAAGCTCGTCTGTTTCCCACAAAGTTCCTGAATGTTCCAGATTTTGTTGGCAATAAAATGCCATAAACATCCATAAACTACACGCATGCCAGCAAAACGCGTTCCACCGTTCAGACAACTTTGGATTCCAAAGTCTCAAGCCTCCAGCAGCAAGACTCTGACCATTTGAATGCACAAGTCAGAACCGCAAAGGCAAGGAACAAGGTGGGCCAGAGAACCCAAAAGCAAGACGGCGCACAGCACGCCTTTTTTGAAAATGTTGTGGTGTGGGCAGCTGTGCTCTGGACGAAATCGATGTAAGATCTTCACTGAAAAACATCGTGCGCACTGATGGTATCAGGGGCCACAATTCACCACAGCACTGCGTCAGCTACGTCTACATTCTTCTAGTTGCTATTGCTGCTAATGTAATTAATTTTATCCCATCTTTCTAGTCGCTCTTTATTTCTGGGTTCTCGTTTAGTTTGCTTCGCCGCAGAGAACACCGTGCGAAATGAAAACTAAACGACGGAGGGAGTTGACCAAAAGAGCATAAAAACGAAGATATGAAGGTGACAGATGGTGGAGGATCATGAAAAATGAGACATGATGAAAGATGGGTAAAGACTTCTCTGTACAAAAGTTTCCTTGCATAAAAGCTTCTGTATGTAAAAGCTTCTGTGGGTAAAAATTTCTCTGTGTAAAGGTTTTTGGTGTAAAAGCTTCTGTGTGTAAAAGTTTCTGTGCAAAACGTCCTCTGCGTGTAAAAAAGTTTGTGTTTGTGAAAGTTTCTTTGCGTACCAGCTTCTGTCTCTAAAAGCTCCAAGGGGGTAAAGCTTTGGTTTTTTAAAAAGCTTCTGTGTGCAAAATTTCTCTGTGTAAAAGACTTCTCTGTGTCAAAGCCTCTGAGTGTACAAGCTTCTCTGTGTAAAAGTTCCTCTGTGTAAAAGTTCCTCTGTGTAAAAGTTCCTCTGTGAAAAAGCTGCTCTGTGTAAAAGGCTTCTCTGTGTAAAAGCCTCTGTGTGTGCAAGCTTTGCTGTGTCAAGACTTCTTTGTGTAAAGATTTCTCTGTGTAAAAACTACTCTGTGTAAACGCTTCTGTGTGTAGAAGCTTTCCTGTGTAAACGCCTCCGTGTGTAAAGACTCCTCTGTGTAAACCCGTCTGTGTGTAAAAGCTCCTTTGTGTAGAGGTTTTTTTAGTGCAAAAGCTTCTGTGTGCAAAAGCTTCTGTGTAAAAGTTTGTGTGTAAAAGCTTCTGTGCGTAAAGGTTTCTGTGTGTAAAAGCTTCTGTGTGTGTTAAGAAAACCTTATGTAAAAGCTTCTGTGTAAAAAAGCTCCCCTGTGTGTACAAGCTTCGCTGCGGAAAAGCTGCTCTATGTAAAAGTTCTGTGCGCCGTAAAGTTGTCTGTTTGTAAAACCTCCTGTGTGTGAACGGGTCTGTGTGTACAAGATTCTGTGTGCAAAAGCTCCTCTGTGTAAAGACTTCTCTGTGTAAACGCACCTGTGCGTAAAGGCTCCTCTGTGTAAAGATTTCTCTATGTAAACGCGTCTGTGCCTGAAAGCCTCTCTGCTTAATCTGTGCAAGACTTCGCTGTGTAAAAGGTACTTTGTGCAAAAGGTTCTGTGCGTAAAAGGCTTCTGCGCAGCTTATTGCAATACTGGGTCAACAAAATGATGGATGTTGCAACACAAGCTCGACGCGAGCATTTTGACAGAACTTGTCCACCTGTTCGGGTGAAACATGTCATTTCTTGCAGCTATTGAGATCTTGCTTATTTAGCAACACATCTGGATGGCATTACAACAGCAACATACACTGGTCAAGAAGACCACAGACCGTGGTGCCTGTTGTATGATGTCTATTGTTGAGTGGGGACATGCGCTTTTGGAGTATGAGGAGAACCTAGCCAAATTTGATGATGAAGATCATATGAACTTTGTGGGTGAGTTTACCTTCAGGGTAAATGAAACTTGCTTGAACAATGATCACAACATCTTCATGGTTGCACCTACAGATCGTGATGCTCACAATCCAATTCTTGTTCATTTGAAGCCTTCTGATATGACTTGGCCAGAAAAACGCCAGTATGTTCCTCGTGAGATGAAACAGAGACGTCATGACAAGAGGAAGGAGATGCAGAGGCAGAACAAGAGGAAAGGATATGGCTTCCACGGAGGGGGTCCGGGACGGAAAAATTGGCATCTACATAGGCCCCAAGATGGGCCAACATGGGGTCAACATAGGCCAACGTAGGGCCAAGACAGGGGCAACATGGGCCCAGATAGGACAACATAAGGCCAACATAGGCCCAACATTGGCTAACCTAGGCCCAACCTGGGCCCAAGATGGGCTCCACCTGGCCCAACATCCACCCAAGAGCCCCGACATGGGGCCCAAGACTGCCGAAGATGGGCCATCCTGGCTCCACCATCGTTCATAATGGTCCAACGTAGGAACAACAGCAACATCAGCATCAGCAGCAGCAACGACGACAACGACGACGACGACGATAGTAGTAGTCGTCGTCGTACTAGTCGTAGACGTGCGCAAAACAAGGACGCATGTACGGCCATTTCTCTGCCGGCGCCCGGCTGTCAGGCGTAAACCTTTAAATCCAGCATTGAGAGCACGGGCCCAAAAGCCAAAAGCACTTTCTTCTTTTCAAATCAGATTTCACTAGGTCGTCTGTGAATCATTGAGCTGCTGCTGATGAACTCAACATGTGTGGCAACACACAACTGGCTCTCACAGTCTGCATTTTAGCAGACCCAAGACACGACTCATGCCATGTACCTCAGCTCCCCAAGCGTGGCACATTGTGATCTCCAAGTGAAGGGTTCAAATATGCTCAAACGCTGCAATTAATCGCTTGAGCATTTTCCGAAAAAGTCGAAACAAGGTCCGAAACAACTAAGGCCACTTCGGTAGGTGACGAATCGTCTGGCTGATAGAGGATCCCAAGCCTGGACAAGTCATGGAGTCGACATGTCTGGACTCTGATGATCGGTGCATGGAATGAAATTCATCCAATCTACAGCGCTGCCTTGAGGAAGTAACGATCCTGTGCCTATCTCCTGCGCAAACGAGTCACTCACTGCATTCCAAGTGCATCAAAAGGCGGCAGCCAGATGGGAGAGGATCTCCTTTCCATCACCAGACAAGAAGGCCACCTCAAACTTGTAGGAGACCGTGTCTTTCTCCGGAGATGGAAGATGGTCCACCTGGCAGACAAACTGTGGAAACTGCCATGGCCAGTGTAATGGCTGGTGGTTTCCGGAAGCCAAGGGAGGCGGCCTTGGTGTTCGCTCTCGCGATGATGTAATGAAGGACTTGCTGAACTTGCTGAGAAGCAGAGGCCTGGAGGTATCTGGGGAGACACAAGACCCAAGATGGTAAACCCTTCGAATCAGAGCTGCAATCACGCACTTGAAGCCTTAGGTACTTGTATTTTCTTGTGACAGTCATGTGATAAAAGAGTGCAAAAGATCCAATGCGGCCTCAAATAGTAAACCGTAAACTTAGTTTGTCGAACTCGAGTTCGAACAAAATTAATTATGATGCAATGTGTGGTACGCATCCTTCTTTGAAGAACGCACTTTCCAATGTCATGAGGCACCTGTAAGTTCGCCTCCTCTCTCAGGTTGTCTGCAGGATTCAAATACCTGCCAAGGATTCCACTCTGAACCGGCGGCTCAGTTCAGATGCTTCACATGTTTGACGAGTTTCACCGTGACAAAACAAGGCATCCGGGGATTGGGTTGCAAACATCAGCAACATGACGACAGGTTGCGCCTGTTCAACGGTTGCACCGCCACTGGAATTCTCCACTGTTCAAAGACGGTTTTCTCATCGCTCCCCACAATGCGGTTCCTGCAGCCGTCCACAATACATCTTAGAATGATCGCAGCTTTGCAGCACCTAGCGGTGGATTTGTCCTGAAGTGGGACGTACATGGACGTACCATGAAGAGAAACTGTCAATTCACTGTCAGTTGGTGACACTGCCAAGGCGCCATAGGCTCTGCTTTCGAGTCTTGACTGTGTACAAATTGAAAACGAGCTGTGCTTTGCCTCTGGCCGCGAACGATATTTGGCACACACTGTTTATAAGCACTGCATGTGTTTCTTTTCTGGATGGCAAGTTCTTTTAGCCGACTGGCATGATCACTTTTGGACAATCGCAGAAATGTTCGATTATCGTATCTTTATGATCTTTATGAGACCTAGAAATCTGTTGTTCTATGCAAGACCCGGTTGCAGTCCGCCTGATCTGTCAAGATTGTTCTCCAGAATTTCAGAGAACTTCTCTACAGTGCGTTCAAGCTCCTTCAAGAGGCAGGATGGAGTACTCAGCAAGGCATACTGTGCATTGTCAAAGCAGCTCACCTGCACATGTTGAGATTCGTTGATCCGTACGTACTCGACGTCGAAGAGCTCCGAGACAACTGCTTTGGGGTCCTGGCAGGGATTGGAAACTTCAAATAGGAGCCAACAAATAGCATAAATGGCAAATTGAATACCCACTTTAACATGCCGGGCCAGCGATGGAATCAGCACCTCCAATAGTACGGCAAACGACCAGGCAATGCCTTGGTGCATGGCATGTGGGTAAGTGTGATTGATGCTTCAGAATACCAATGCAATATACAAACAGCTCTTACTGCAACAGTTTTGAGATCCCAACAGAATGATTCGAATCGCTTCCTTGACCTTTTGGCGCGAGTCGAGTTTCAATTAGCGACGTTGGAAGATGTTAGAAGCAGGTGCAAAGGGAAAGTTGAGCCGCCCCACATGGCACATGGCCAGTCGAAGCTCGGGGCTCAAGAATTCCTGCGAATGGCCACATGTTTGGGCAGGCCTTGGTGGGTTTTTGTGCAACTTTAGTTCATGATGTTCACATGATGTTTTTAATGATGTTCAATGATGCTTATAATATCTTATAATGCTTTTGTGTTAGCAATTCAGTCGCAAATCGCACACTATCTCAGCAGTTTTCTTTCCTTCCAAACTACTCAAATCCGACCTCTACATTGAGCATGGCGATCTGCCGGCTGCTACTACGCGTGTCCGATTCCCATGGAAGAAATGCTCCAAGTTGTTCGGAATGGCATATAATTTCTGAAAGACTACTGAGGAGCAAAGCGGGTTGAGTTGTACATCGACCCAAGTCATCATTCTTTCGAAACTGTTTGGAAGCTTGGGCAAGAAAGTTGCATGAATAAGCAGATCATTCCGATTGGAAGCAAAACTGTCTGACTTGTTCTTGCGAAAACACATGAAACCACCATAGTGGGCCAAGTGTTGGCACGCATCGATCAGTGACAGGCAAGTTTCGGAAACTATTCCGCAAAGTTTCGAAACACTTGCAGCGGCTCATTCTTCTGCCGAGAGGGTTCCAGGGAGCATCGATTACCAGCTTTCCTCGTAGCGATTGGGCCTTCCAAAAGGCGCTAAGCAGGTGTCACCTATGGTACCTATGTCTTGGTTGCATCTGATCTTATTCTGAAGCTATCTCTGAGACTTTTTCTGTATAGGAATGATGGGATTCGCAGTCGGATGAGCTTGGGATGTATTTCAAACGGTGCTCCTCCTAGTCTTTGATCAATGATCTGGTCTTTAGGTCTACATCTTTGCACATCTTGCCGCACCGCAAAGTCATCAAATCCCTTCGTCGGCTAAGTCAGCCGGCAAGCCACACCTGGCTCCAGGGCGGCCCCAGAACTTGTACCTCGATCACAGGGTGCCAAATTTTGTGGTAGCCCACATGTTGCTGCAAACAGCAAACAAACGAGCAAAAAAGATTGAAGATTCCCTCTAGGAAAATGAAAAGTGAAACACTTTCCAGGGGGAACTCCAGCATATTGCAAGAAGGAGTGATCAAAATGCAAGTAGCCTCGTCCACACCAAGCTGTATGCGAACCTAAGTCTTGTCCCAAGAAGCCAGGTGCTGTCGACGAATGTTGGAAAAGTTCTACGAATAGCTGAGGCTTTGGACTCGTTGCCAAAGAAAATGCCATACAACCTTGACTTGTCGCCAGCACGGTATAGCCACGGCCTTGGGCAATTTGAAGCAAGGCTGTATTTTCGAAATGAACCCCTCAAAACAAGAGACCTAAGGCGACCTAAGGGATCTAAGGGTGAAGCAGGATGTCGGATTCAACCCCTTGAAACCGCTCGACTCGATTGCCTCAGAGCGCATCATCACGGTGTGTTGAAAAATCGCTGGCGGCTCAAACCATCTCGAGGTCCCTTTTTTTGTCAATCCCCGGGTTGCCGGACCGAAGAGGGAATTGCGACGATCTAAGGTGGGAGGCCTTGTGTAAGAGCCATCCGTCTTCACCTCAGTGCACCAGTTTCTCAGATCTTGCCAGGTTTCCATTCCAAGTGATCTCACTGCTTCCTTTAGATCTTCCTTTAGCTTCTTTACATTCATTGCTATTCATGACCATGTACCGGATATACCGAGACCTGTACCCGAGATGCGATACGGACGACATGGAACTGGCTGTCCTCTCTCCTGTGTGATTGTGGTATGTATAAATCATGACATCAAACAGCATATTGGTATATATCTTGGTGGTATTTTGATATACCACTTGGTATGTGCCAAACCAAAGCGTTGCAAGCCAAATACCAAGATATACCAAGTGTTCGTGACCAGTATGGCATCGATGCCCAGAAAAAGAAGTTCTATGGCCTTGTGTCGTCTTCAGCATCTGCCATGTCCTTCCAACAGGGCATGAGAAAGTCTCTCCAGAGTGCTTGCCTAGAACGCACATCTGTAGTAAATATATCAAACACAGCATGGCCCTGCCTCCTTCGCACTTTGAATCACTCGGTCCAAGACAGCCTCACGAGCTCAACTTGAACCACGACTACCCAACATTCCCAAGCGCTGTGGGCCCCTGTGGGCTACCATTTCCATCCATTCCTATGGCGAAGGACACAAACCTAAGCTGGGCTGGTGCCTCTCGGTCAAAGCATCCGCTGAGGTCAATCCTGCGGCGTTCACACCAACCTGGGTGACACATGGTGACACAACTACCTGGTACTCTCAGTGTACTACTTCATGACATTTCATGACCTTCATGAAAATTCCAGGATTTCCTAAGATCTTCCCTCAAACGGTCATGAAACAGCCAGTGTTGAAAAAGTTGAAAGAAATGGCTGAGGCATGGACGAATCAAGTCAGTAGTGGACCACTCGGACCTCGCTCAGGAGACAGCAACGATTGATGTGCGATCTCTGAAGGCAAGCCTTCGCAGCTTTTGGAGCTTTCGCCAAGATGTCCGCAGCTATCTCACACCTAGTCAAAATCCTGCCCCTTGTAGCCCTCTCTGCTTGGTGCTTGTGCGTGCATTTCTGCATGTCTAATCATTTGTCTGTGGGTCTGCATCAAACGATGGCTCTGTCTGCGGTGTAGCTCTGGAACTGTAAGCCGCTTGGTCTACTTGAAAAACAAACCTGAGACAAAGACCAGTGAGGTCTCGACCATGGAACTTCATCGTCGTCCTGCACGATCATCCACAAAACGATCCATGTTCAAGTCGTACAAATATCCATGCCTCCATGACATGTCAACTCAACGGGCACGCTCCTGCATATTCGTGTTGCCTCCTGGCGGCGCCCAATGCTCAGTGAGTCCATGGGCGGCCATGGGCCCTTCAATATCAGAACACTCACCAAGAAAGGTCCATGTCATGTTTGCCAAAAGGAATCCACAGAGCAAAGATGAAAATGGTTCAACTTTGTTCAACTACTGTCCGTTCACCTGAAGGCCCATCGGAGCTGGCTTCGATGTTGAGACCTTCGATGTTTTGGCAGGAAGGAAACTGCAGGGGGGCCTTGGCCTCGTCTTTAGAGCGTGCCAGGAAAAGAAGGGTGAAAAATATTGGCAAAATCCACTGTCCAGCTTTCTGAAGGTTTCTAGGCTCAGTTTCTTCCAATCCACAGCATCCAAACAGCATCCAAACAGCCACCGCTGTCGGTCACACATTCAAAGACAAGGCACGACGCGGCACAAAACGTCTAGAAGAAGGTTCCCACAGGCGCCAGCGGAGGATTGGATGTGAGATCCAGGGCCTGGTCGTTGGGTTTGTCTGAAAATGTATGGAAAATGGCATTGTCAAAGACATGAAATGGTGCTTGGAAATGGTTATGTCTCTGTCAAGCAAAAGGATGTGCAAACAGTTCATGCAAAAAACATGTGTGACAACAATACAAAGACAAATTGCAAAGTATGGCACCAAGTCATTCAATGACTTCTTGGAATTTGAGTAGAAAACAATATAAATATTATATATATAATATATATATATATATCCGCCGACCCCGGCCTTGGCCAAGGCAGGGGCGGCGCCTGGGACCACCGCAGGTGTGGAACTTCTCCTTCTTCGCTTTCCAAGGTCAAACCCATCTCGCAGCCAGCAAGCTGCCCCAAGGCCACATCGCGTAAACATTTTCCTGGCATGCCTCGTCCTCCAGTTAAGACTTCCAGGCATTTGGACATGAAAATTACATGCTTTGGGAAACCCTTAAAACGCTGACTTGGCATGCTTCATCCTGCAGCCAACAGCCACCCCGAGGCCACACATCAATGGCTTCTTATGGGCCGCTTAACAGCCAACAGGCACCCCAAGGCCACACATCAATGGCTTCTTATGGGCGTCCAAGCCTGCCGTTTGCCAGCCCTTAAACCCTCCAAACCCTCCAAACCCTCCAAACCCTTAAAAACCTTAAAACCCTTAAAACGCTGACTTGGCATGCTTCATCCTGCAGCCAACAGCCACCCCGAGGCCACACATCAATGGCTTCATCAATGGCTTCTTATGGGCGTCCAAGCCTTCCGTTTGCCAGCCCTTAAACCCTTAAAACCCTCCTTAAAAACCTTAAAACCCTTAAAACGCTGACTTGGCATGCTTCATCCTGCAGCCAACAGCCACCCCGAGGCCACACATCAATGGCTTCTTATGGGCCGCCTAAACAATCCCTTGGCATGCTTCATCCTGCAGCCAACAGGCACCCCAAGGCCACACATCAATGGCTTCTTATGGGCGTCCAAGCCTGCCGTTTGCCAGCCCTTAAACCCTTAAAACCCTCCAAACCCTCCAAACCCTTAAAAACCTTAAAACCCTTAAAACGCTGGCTTGGCATGCTTCATCCTGCAGCCAACAGCCACCCCGAGGCCACACATCAATGGCTTCTTATGGGCCGCTTAAACAATCCTTTGGCATGCTTCATCCTGCAGCCAACAAGCACCCCAAGGCCACACATCAATGGCTTCTTATGGGCGTCCAAGCCTGCCGTTTGCCAGCCCTTAAACCCTCCAAACCCTCCAAACCCTCCAAACCCTTAAAAACCTGAAAACCCTTAAAACGCTGACTTGGCATGCTTCATCCTGCAGCCAACAGCCACCCCGAGGCCACACATCAATGGCTTCTTCTGGGCTGCTTCAACAATCCCTTGGCATGCTTCATCCTGCAGCCAACAGGCACCCCAAGGCCAACCATCAATGCTTCTTATGGGCGTCCAAGCCTGCCGTTTGCCAGCCCTTAAACCCTTAAAACCCTCCAAACCCTCCAAACCCTTCAAACGCTTAAAAACCTTAAAACCCTTAAAACGCTGACTTGGCATGCTTCATCCTGCAGCCAACAGCCACCCCGAGGCCACACATCAATGGCTTCTTCTGGGCCGCTTAAACAATCCCTTGGCATGCTTCATCCTGCAGCCACCAGGCACCCCAAGGCCACACATCAATGGCTTCTTATGGGCGTCCAAGCCTGCCGTTTGCCAGCCCTTCAACCCTTAAAACCCTCCAAACCCTCCAAACTCTCTAAACCCTTAAAAACCTTAAAACCCTTCAAACGCTGACTTGGAATGAACAGGCACCCCAAGGCCACACATCAATGGCTTCTTATGGGCCGCTTAAACAATCCCTTGGCATGCTTCATCCTGCAGCCAACAGGCACCCCAAGGCCACACATCAATGGCTTCTTACGGGCGTCCAAGCCTGCCGTTTGCCAGCCCTTAAACCCTTAAAACCCTCCAAACCCTCCAAACGCTTAAAAACCTTAAAACCCTTAAAACGCTGACTTGGCATGCTTCATCCTGCAGCCAACAGCCACCCCGAGGCCACACATCAACGGCTTCTTCTGGGCCGCTTAAGCAATCCCTCGGCATGCTTCATCCTGCAGCCAACAGGCACCCCAAGGCCACACATCAATGGCTTCTTATGGGCGTCCAAGCCTGCCGTTTGCCAGCCCTTCAACCCTTAAAACCCTCCAAACCCTCCAAACCCTTAAAAACCTTAAAACGCTGACTTGGCATGAACAGGCACCCCAAGCCCACACATCAATGGCTTCTTATGGGCCGCTTAACAATCCCTTGGCATGCTTCATCCTGCAGCCAACAGGCACCAAGGCCACACATCAATTGCTTCTTATGGGCGTCCAAGCCTGCCGTTTGCCAGCCCTTAAACCCTTAAAACCCCCCAAACCCTCCAAACCCTTAAAACCCTTAAAACGCTGCCTTGGCATGCTTCATCCTGCAGTCAACAGCCACCCCGAGGCCACACATCAATGGCTTCTTATGGGCCGCTTAAACAACCAGCAAGCTGCCCCAAGGCCACATCGCGTAAACATTTTCCTGGCATGCACAGGCACCCCAAGGCCACACATCAATCGCTTCTTATGGGCCGCTTAAACAATCCCTTGGCATGCTTCATCCTGCAGCCAACAGGCACCCCAAGGCCACACATTAATGGCTTCTTATGGGCGTCCAAGCCTGCCGTTTGCCAGCCCTTAAACCCTTAAAACCCTCCAAACGCTTAAAAACATTAAAACCCTTAAAACGCTGACTTGGCATGCTTCATCCTGCAGCCAACAGCCACCCCGAGGCCACACATCAATGGCTTCTTCTGGGCCGCTTAAACAATCCCTTGGCATGCTTCATCTTGCAGCCAACAGGCACCCCAAGGCCACACATCAATGGCTTCTTATGGGCGTCCAAGCCTGCCGTTTGCCAGCCCTTCAACCCTTAAAACCCTCCAAACCCTCCAAACCCTTAAAAACCTTAAAACCCTTCAAACGCTGACTTGGCATGAACAGGCACCCCAAGGCCACACATCAATGGCTTCTTCTGGGCCGCTTAAACAATCCCTTGGCATGCTTCATGCTGCAGCCAACAGGCACCCCAAGGCCACACATCAACGGCTTCTTATGGGCGTCCAAGCCTGCCATTTGCCAGCCCTTAAACCCTTAAAACCCTCCAAACCCTCCAAACGCTTAAAAACCTTAAAACCCTTAAAACGCTGACTTGGCATGCTTCATCCTGCAGCCAACAGCCACCCCGAGGCCACACATCAATGGCTTCTTCTGGGCCGCTTAACAATCCCTTGGCATGCTTCATCCTGCAGCCAACAGGCACCCCAAGGCCACACATCAATGGCTTCTTATGGGCGTCCAAGCCTGCCGTTTGCCAGCCCTTAAACCCTTAAAACCCTCCAAACCCTCCAAACCCTCCACACCCTTAAAAATTTTAAAACCCTTAAAACGCTGACTTGGCATGCTTCATCCTGCAGCCAACAGCCACCCCGAGGCCACACATCAATGGCTTCTTCTGGGCCGCTTAAATAATCCCTTGGCATGCTTCATCCTGCAGCCAACAGGCACCCCAAGGCCACACATCAATGGCTTCTTATGGGCGTCCAAGCCTGCCGTTTGCCAGCCCTTCTTAAAACCCTCCAAACCCTCCAAACCCTTAAAAACCTTAAAACCCTTCAACGCTGACTTGGCAACAGCCACCCCGAGGCCACACATCAATGGCTTCTTCTGGGCCGCTTAAACAATCCCTTGGCATGCTTCATCCTGCAGCCAACAGGCACCCCAAGGCCACACATCAATGGCTTCTTATGGGCGTCCAAGCCTGCCGTTTGCCAGCCCTTCAACCCTTAAAACCCTCCAAACCCTCCAAACCCTTAAAAACCTTAAAACCCTTAAAACGCTGACTTGGCATGCTTCATCCTGCAGCCAACAGCCACCCCGAGGCCACACATCAATGGCTTCTTATGGGCCGCTTAAACAATCCCTTTGGCATGCTTCATCCTGCAGCCAACAGGCACCCCAAGGCCACACATCAATGGCTTCTTATGGGCGTCCAAGCCTGCCGTTTGCCAGCCCTTAAACCCTTAAAACCCTCCAAACCCTCCAAACGCTTAAAAACCTTAAAACCCTTAAAACGCTGACTTGGCATGCTTCATCCTGCAGCCAACAGCCACCCCGAGGCCACACATCAATGGCTTCTTCTGGGCCGCTTAAACAATCCCTTGGCATGCTTCATCCTGCAGCCAACAGGCACCCCAAGGCCACACATCAATGGCTTCTTATGGGCGTCCAAGCCTGCCGTTTGCCAGCCCTTAAACCCTTACAACCCTCCAAACCCTCCAAACCCTTAAAAACCTTAAAACCCTTAAAACGCTGACTTGGCATGAACAGGCACCCCAAGGCCACACATCAATGGCTTCTTATGGGCCGCTTAAACAATCCCTTGGCATGCTTCATCCTGCAGCCAACAGGCACCCCAAGGCCACACATCAATGGCTTCTTATGGGCGTCCAAGCCTGCCGTTTGCCAGCCCTTGAACCCTTAAAACCCTCCAAACTCTCTAAACCCTCCAAACGCTTAAAAACCTTAAAACCCTTAAAACGCTGACTTGGCATGCTTCATCCTGCGGCCAACAGCCACCCCGAGGCCACACATCAATGGCTTCTTATGGGCCGCTTAACCAATCCCTTGGCATGCTTCATCCTGCAGCCAACCGGCACCTCGCGTAAACATTTTCCTGGCATGCTTCGTCCTCCAGTTAAGACTTCCAGGCATTTGGACATGAAAATTACATGCTTCGTCCTCCAGTTAAGACTTCCAGGCATTTGGACATGAAAATTACATGCTTTGGGCAAGTAAGTTTTCCTCCGGAAGGTTTTGTCTGAAGGTTTTGTCTTTCAAGGCTCCTTCTTCGCTTTCCTAGGTCCAACCCATCTCGCAGCCAGCCAGCCGGCGCAAGGCCACATCGCGTAAACATTTTCCTG